TCGTCATCGAAAGTGTTATATAACGAAACTTCATCTTATTCACAAATCTTAAACTTTCACAAAAAACCTTAAAAACTTAATCACACTGCAATCAACAAAACGCATCGTCCTTTTCCAAACATTTTTAGTTTCAGATGAACTCCATGTCTTCCCTCTCCAAATGTTTAGAAGAAGTCGGCAAGATGAGAGAGTTTGAACATGAAGAGGAAAAGGAACAAGAATCACGTAAACGTAAAACAGAAACTCGCCATCCCTATGATGAAAAGAGAAAATCTTCCGTTAAGTCCATGGTCAGAGTAAGAGAAAGATCTCCTGTCTTTCGCCCTAGAAGATTCGTTATGGCAAACACAGCACGGTGTTTTCTTTGTCTTAAAAAAGGACACTTCACGAACACGTGCACTGAGTACGCAAACTACGAAGAAAGAGCCTTGAGGCTTGATGAGTTGAATCAGTGTAAAGCCCGTTTACGTACACACTATCATGATGAGAGTTGTGAAAGTCCAAAGTCTTGTAGATTCTGTCAATATCGGAATAAGAAGCATAATCATCCGCCGGCACTGTCGCCGCTGCCACGCACTGATGGGCGGAGCCAAGAAATGTTAATGCTGCTGGTTGGAATGCTGTGGCTTGCTTGTTTGTGCTGGTAGCAGACGGATTCTACAATAAATGCTTCATCTTATAATAAATGCTTCATCTTATAATAAATGCTTCATCTTATAATAAATGCTCCATCCTATAATAAATGCTTCATATCTGTACGTTGTGTGAGCAAGTCGATGATTGCTTGTGTACTAGACATAAACCCTGAACCATGTGTAATTAGGCACCGTATTTAGTACGAGTGTTGATGCACTTGGGGACGGAGTCCTAGGGCATTTACGGAGCGCCCTTAAGGGATCTCGTAGAGTGTGATCAGATAAGAGAGATAGAGTGACTTCATAAAAAGATCCAAGTTTCGTCAGATACCTAATGACTTCCAAGGAACACTCATGTCAGAAACAATTTCTCTTCACAACTCATCTAGAGATCAGTCTCCCAGTTTCTCTATCGAACATCCGAGAGCAGATCAAAGCGGGGGATCTGCCAGCTCAAATCCAAACACAGAAAGTAATCGCATTCGTACTCTCGAACTTGAAAAGATAGCTTTATCAGAGCAGCTCCGATTATTGACGACTAGAGCCACGGCTCAAGATCACAGTACCCTGTCAGGAACACAGATAGAGAATTAGCTCACTCATCACATTACTTTCCGAAAATCGAAATAACAACATTCAGCAGAAAAATCGAAGAGTTTCCCCGTTTCTGGGAAGCTTTTACAACAATCATCGATTCACAGCAATGGCCAGCAAAATTCAGCTACCTTCTCACGAAATTAGATGGTGGAGCAGCAGCCGCCATAAAAATGATCCCTATAACCGTCGTAGGTTATCCGATTGCAAAAAATAAGCTAAAGTCCATATACCTCGATCCTCACCTTCTGGAAGCAACCTTAGAAAAGAAAATGGATTCTATTCACAGAGCGATAGAAAACTCAGAAAGCCTTATGCAGACTGTCTGCTGGATTGAAATAACAATTGAGTTAAGAAAAGAATATGAATCACAACTTGATCACACAGCACTCACTCGTAAAAAATAGCAAACATGTTTCCTAATGAAATTGCCCAAAGGCTCTAATAGATTCTGAAGCAAGAAAGGATAGGAATCCTTTTTGAAACACATAAGAACACAAGCAGAAGACAAAAGATTAGCAGAACTAACTTTACAACACACAGAAAGCGCGATACTGTTTAGAGGAGATAAACTAGAAAAATGCGCATTCTGCAAAGGCACACACAGAAGCCAGTAATGCAAGAAGTACACCACAGTCAGTGAAAGAACTCAGGTTATTCGAGATAAAGAACTATGTTTCTCATGCCTTTCATCATCACATACAAGCCGTCATTGCAGAGCACCTCCTTGCTCGGTTTGTAACAAACCTCACGACACTTATCGCTCCAGAAGCAACAGCAGAAAATCTTACAGAGACAGTGGAATTGCATACTAGACACTGGAGCAGATTGCTCATTCATAACTGAACGATTAGCAAACAGAGTAGGGTCAGATAACATCACAACCAAGAACATAAGCATTGCCACGTTCGGTTACCAACATGAACCATATGAGACAAAAACTATCCATGACCTCAAGCTCTTCAACGACGATGACGCTTACATACAAATTGCCGTTTCGACTTTCGCTCGAATCATTGACAACATCAGCCCAGTTCATCTGCAGAGAGCAGGTTTGAAATTCGCAAACAACTATAGCATCAGACTGCCGAAATTTTTGAATAAACCCGGAATCCCGATAGATATTCTGATTGGTTTAGACAACTTCCATACGATTTACAAAAACGGATCCAACTCTTTCAAGCTACCTTCTGGTCTGATAGTGTCTTCCACTTTCCTCGGTGAACATGATCTATGGTTCAACGAAATCAGAGAGCAGAAGTATGATTTCAAATACTAACACCATCATTGTCAGAAACCTAATGACTCATGTTAGAGAACCCGAAAACGAATATAACAAAGAATTCAATACAGAAAATATGTGGAATCTAGAGAGCATTAAAATCTTCGATAATATTTCTTTATCAAAACAGTCCAAAAAGCAGAAGACGGAATACACGTAGGTCTTCCGTGGAAAGAAGAAAAACAATGCTTCTCTTCCAATTTATTAATGATCAACTCAAAGCAGGTATGATCGAAAAAGTTGAGAATTGGAGAGAAACCCGACACATAGCAGCCCTGCCTATTACATGCCTTACAGATCCGTTATAAAACAATCCAGCAAAACAACAAAAGTTCGCATTGTCATGGATGCGTCATCAAAAGCGAGAGATGAAATTTCCCTGAACGACGCGGTCCACCAGGGACCATGCATCCTTCCAAATATAGCTAGAGTAATACTCCGATCAAGGTGCGGTGAGAATTTAATCACTGCAGACATAGAAAAAGCATTTCATCAAATACATTTGATTGAATCTGACAGAGACGCAACAAGCTTTCTCGTTCTCATAGACATATACTTACCTATCTTCGAAAAAAACGTAAAATCTCTTAAACATACTAGACCTGCGTTTGGAATTAACGCCTCACCTTTCCTATTAGCAGGAGGAATTTATTACGGTCTTGATCACATAAGAACAGAAAAGTCAGCAGTCAGTCATGTAGTCTTGTAGTCTGTCGCTGTCAGTCTGTTACGGACTGACAGTCAGTTAGTGTGACATTAGAACCATCTAGATATCTTCACCGTACAAAGTATGGGTGTTGATACATAGGGAGTTGTAGGGCTAGAGCGAAGCGCCCGTATAAGCTTCGTCAAAGATGAAGAAATGAAACTCCTCGGAATAGATTGGAATATCAATCACGACAGGTTTAAACTAAAAATGACTTTAGGCAACATCGAAAAAACATAAACAAAAAGAAAAATACTTCAAGCTGCACACAGCACTTATGATCCATTAGGTTTTCTCACACCTCTTTTTATTAAGCCTCGACACTTCATTCAGAAGTTATTTCCTCACGACTACCATTGGGACAGCCCATCAAATGCACAACATAGTGCAGAATGGAAAGAGATTTATACAAGCATTCATGGCTACAAATTGCAAATGAGAAGAAGCATAGGACCTCAAAGAATCCTAACATCCAAATCAGAGAATCAAACATTGAACGAGTAATTCCGCTTCACTCTATACCACTCTTTGCTCCACTGCCGATATCAGCCATTTCCATCATAAGCTTTCCAGCTAAAGCAATGTTTTCATTGTCGCCCTATTGCTCCGTGTAGCAAAGCGCATACTCAACCCAGGTATCTTTCTTTTATCTCCTCCGTCTGGCGTGCCCAAACCGAGTTGGAAAATTTTATAATCCCACACTTCTAGCTCCGTAGCGTCTATCGTATCTTCCTTGTAGACATCATATTCATCTACCATATCTCACTCATCATTTTCTTCTCACTATTATTCAAATTTAATTTACTTATTCATTCATGTCGTTTTATATATTTATTTTTTTCTTTTCCCGCGCCCCAGGACGGCCCGGAACGTTACTTCATTCAACTTAGAAATATGCAAGTTACACTTAAATTCCTTCCCTTCCAGAATGAATGACATGACCGACTTGAGAAAGAGCATCGAGGATATCACCACCTTAGACGCATTTGAGAAACTTGTGCAAGAAGATCATGGAATAGAACTGGAGAGAGTCAAGAAAATGGAGGACAAAAAAAGGAAAGAAAGCAGAGCAAGAAGAAACTCGGTAAAAAGTACTTCTGTTTGATCAAGAGTTTACGTTTCGCGTAAATCTGTACCAGTAAGACCCAAACGATTTGTAACAGCAGAAACCAGTTACTGATGTTAAATGCTCTATGTAAAGAACAATACCCTATTAAAAAGGCCCCCCGCACTGTCGCGGCTACGACAATGTAAATGGGCGGAGCTTATAAATCGCTGCTGTTGCTGGAGGAATACTTGCTGCTTCTACTAAAAGTACGCAGTCAGCAGGATTCGAACCTACGCGGGCATAGCCCAATTGATTTCTAATCAATCTCCTTAACCACTCGGACATGACTGCTCGAAAATAGCTTTTTTCTAGCACGCCATCTTCTTTTTTTTGAGCGACGTATCGATAAATTGTTGAAACTACCTTTTTCCTGTATTTTTAGTGAGTTTGTGTGTGAATGTACGCGAAACTAACCAAGATACATCCAACACAACCGTACACAACCAAAAGTACGCAGTCAGCAGGATTCGAACCTACGCGGGCAGAGCCTAGATGATTTTTCATAAGATTCCCTGACATTTTTGTTATTATTCTCTTTATTTTTCTGATAACTATGAGTTTGCGTTATGTGATGTTCTAATATTTTGTTCGGAGCTGATTGTTTGAGTAGAGGACCGGTAGTTGCTGATATCGAACTGTTAACTCTGTGAAATAAATATAACAAAAAATTTCTGTTCATTTTGGTTTGCAAGAGTAGTTGTATCCAACAGCGCATCCGAACTGATCTCGACCGGATACCTTATATCATATCAGGTGACTCAAACAAAAGAAGTGGATCTTACCGTGTAAATGCATTCGCAACTTCCATCCAATGATAACCCTGGATACAACATTTTACAGTTTGTATTGTGATCAGATGATGGTAAGCCGTCGACGTAGGGATTCAAAACTCGACAATTATATGTGGGACCTGATGGAAGTTGAGTTTGAAAACAGATTGTGTTGAAGCTATATTACCTCGATGTGGTTCATTCCCACGCTGAATAATAACTGGTTTCGGTTGAGATTCTTGAACTACAGCAGTGTTACGATGAAAGCTTGCGGTATTCATTCTGGGCGGATTGATATTCCACGAGCGTCTAGTTTGAGAAAGAATTGGTCTTCTTAAAGTAGTAATGTACTTATGAAAAATGGAAATATTGATATTTGTGTGATGTGAATCATAAAATGTTTCCCAATAAAAAATTTCTTATATGAGTTCACATGTTTAAGCATTTTTGAAAGTTCAATTCATAATTGCTTGCTACCTAGTGATTTCAGCATTTTGAGTGATCCGTGTGTGAGATGGGCTAGATACTCTCCTACTAGAAACTTCCGAATTATTATGCTGGAAAATAATTTGTCCTCCTTTTCTCCAAATCGGACCATGATTTGATGGATCAGGTGCTTTGAAAGCTGGCGCAGGCTGCTTTGCACTAGAGGAAAATGTAAACATAACAGTGTATACACTAAACGAACAATGGTTGAGAATTCTGCTGCCGGTTTGGGATTCTCATATGCGACATGTTGTTAGGCATTTCAGTGTTCAAATGTGAAGTTGTCGGTAAAACAGTAGTTGAAACAAATTTTGGTTCAACAGGCATGGGTGAAGTTGCAAAAAAATCTTTGGGTCCTCGCGTATCTGCTAGTGTGCTCCAAGTATTCCCTCTGCGTGTAACGATAGGAACCTAAAAACCAAAAAAACGAAACTGAACATTTTCTAGTTTCTTGAGTTGTGTCATCCTACTTTTGTATATCCTTCATCATGCCCTTTCCGAAACACTTGAAAAGCTGGTAGTTGACGTACGACTTGGTCGTAGATGTCATTGGTATCCGCCGATTTCATAATGTCTTCATCGAAATCATAATCAAACGATTTGGGATTAGTGAAAATGGTTTCATCGAGTAATGAAGCTGAAAAGTTTTTTTGTCACAAATTCTGTCTATGAACTAGTTTGAAAAAACATACGTCCTCTCCATTTGAACACTTTTATTCGACTTTCATCGATAGCTGCATGAACATATAAAACAAGCAAGCAGAGGAAAATGATTTTCATCTGAAATTGGGAACAGCTTCAAGACTGAAGAAGTGAGAAGAATAAAAAGGGAACGACAGCAATGAAATGACCATAACGTCATGAGACTTTTAAGTTAAAACTGCAGTGAAGCAGACATGACCCTAACCGACCTTGCCATCGAAAACAGAGAACGAGAGAGTTGCCACTGATAAGAAGCTGCTCATGTCTGGTTAGAGAAACGATTTTATGATACTAAAGCAAACTGATGAAACAAAAAGTATGAAATGGAATGATTTTTATGAATTAATTCGAACTAATTATAGGTAGCCTTACAGCATAGTTGAGTGCTTTCTTCCATCCTATTCAATGAGAGAAAAACTGAAAAAAAGCGATGATTTTTTATGTTCTTCTAATTACTGATGTTGCAAATACGCAAGGAAGCACTACGAGACAACTAACATAGGAACTGTTAGCTTGAGAGATTCTGAATGAAAAGACAATGCAAACGAATTTAGATGTCAGCTCTTCTACCATACCCATCAATTCATTGTGTTTTAATCGAATAATAAATGAAACAAATGATTCTAGTTGGGAATTTCTTTTACTTTTATTATACTTTTGTATACATATTTTGTAGTCATTATCATTGTGAACAATGAATAATCAAAAATAGAAATTCACATTCCAACAATGTTAAACATCAAATGAACTTGCTTGCTTCATTCATGAAATTACAACATGTCCTTTGTTATTCTTTTTTTTTCTACTTGAAACAAAAAAAATGACATTAACAGCTTTTTTTGAGCCGCTTCAACCTTGCTAGTTGTACGTTTTGTTTTGAAAAAATAATAAGAAAAATAAAGTTGAGTAAATGTGAGAAAAGATAGAAACATTGGAAAGGTCACGAAACACAAAAAAAATATTTTTTTAAAATAATTAAATGAACTTTGATTGATTTGAAATACAAAATTATGTCTATATGATGCACAATGCACGTTCTTAATAGAACGCAGAATCATACAATGCATGAAATGCTATGGATGATGCAAATAAACAGAATAAAGTTACTTTTATACCACAAAAGAAGGAAGCTTGTTTTTACCAATCAAATAAAAAGTTTAAACTAAAATCACTTTGATAGTAAAGAAAAATAAAAATAAAAATTTATTTGTTCGAATAGAAGAATGGAAAGAAAAGAGAAATTCGAAGTTTGTATGAAAAAAAAAGAATGAGAAGAAAAAAAAAGAGGAAAAGAAGAAGAAGTGAACAAAATGAAAAAACCGGTAGAGAGAAAGTAAAAAAAGGAAGAAGCTGCGGTCATTCAATATCCATTGAAGAATGAAAATCCTGTTATGAATATAATTAAATATATATGAAACTTTACTATGCTAACATCTTATATATACATATATAGACATATTTATGAACGGAGATGAATATACTGTGTATGATGTTGATAGAAGACGACTTCAATGATAGATAACTTATAATATTATAATATTTAATGAAAATGGGTGTGTATATGAGATTATTTAATCATATATCAAGCTTTTTTCATTGTCAAAGGTTATCATAAACATAATTTATTCTTGTTTCTAACACATAAATATATCAATTGATATCAATATCTGTCAATCTGTTCTCGCTTCATCCTCAAACCTGAATTATGTTGTTTAAGATTGAAAAATCAATGTCATTTGAGAGAGAGTGCTAAAATGAAATAATATATTTCTTAATATTATCTCATGAATAATAAAAACAAAACAAAATAAAAAAAGAAATCTTAATAGGATGCTGATAATAGTTCTTTGAAGAAAAAAAAGAATTCCGGTCTTTCTCTCTTTGTTTCAGATGAATTTACTTCAAATGTTCTCAACGGATTATTCATGAAATCATACAATCACCTTCTTTTTCTAACTCAGTCATCCCTCCCTTCATCTTTCTCTTTCCGAATGCCCTCTCTCTCTCTCCCTTTACCTCTCCTACTCTCCGCTTTTTTCTTCTTCACATACTCTCCGTAAAAAAAACATCAAAAACAAAAATTACGTAGAACTCTTCGTCATCAGTTTGACATTTTATGGATCAAAAATTGTTTTTAAACTTTCCTTCATATTCTTTCTGTCTGTCTCTCTCTCTTCTTTTATTCTTTTTTTTTTAACAAAAAAATCGACGAGCTTTTCTTGCCCTTTACGCGAGGTCCGCCTATAGGTGATCCTTTTTTCTGTTTTTTGTCATCCACTGTTTATCCAATTCATTCTTCCATCTAGAGACATAGCTCTGATCTTACTATTCATTTTCTCAAATCAGTTCTATTTTAATATAACATTGAATTGTTTCACATTTGTTTTATCACACATCATTGTTCAGTGCAGAGGGTTGAAAGGCAAGACCACAAGAGAGATGGATGACAGAGAGGGAAAGCGAGAGAGAGAGAGAGAGAGAGAGAGAGAGAGAGAGGAATGAAAAAAGTTTTTTTTCAGAACTTGGTGAGATTTCAAAAAGAAATCCGCATTTTTCATGTTTTGAATGATGGAAAGATATAAAACTATTTCTTTAGATAAATTCTCAAATTATGACTAAGATTCTTTCTTCATCTACTCCTTTGAGAATCAGAGAGAAGAAAAAAAATTTTTTTGTTGTTGATACATCCTTTTGCTCCAGTCATTCTAGCATTTTCAGTTGATTAAAACTCAATTGTGGGCAGACAAGAAAACTAGTTTATTATGAATATTTGGAATTGTTATGTGATAGAAACCTTAAAAACCGATTTGCCAATGACATTTCTTAAATTGATGTCATCTTCTGATTCTCATGACCATCCTTCACTCCCGCTTCTCTCTATTTCTCCTGTACACTTGCGAATAATTATTATCTCTAATGGGTTTTTAGATATAGAAAGTTCATAATTTTTATATTTCCTATTTAGATCAAACAGATATTTTATTTGATTTTTTTTTCAGTTTTTTTCGCATATTCGAGAAAGTATGAAGCTTGAGGCTTACAATGGCCAATTCTTGACCTATTGGGGGTTGAATAATAGACAGTTCGATATGTTTTGAAGGACCTTGTTTCATTTTAGAACATCTGTGGTTCCAGTTGACTCACTGACTGATCGTTCAATCCGCAAATGTTACCGATTACATGTCATTGGAGCTGTGGTACAAACAATATATAATGAAAAAATATATAAAATCATATTACTTAAAGACGCGGACATCTACTAGAGACAATATCACTTTTTTAAAATCAAACTTATGTGATGTGGAAAGTATTTCTTCATCTGAAGAAGATCCGAATTTCATTCCCAAATATGAAAAGCTGAATAATTTGATTGGTGACTAATGACCTCAGCTTATAACAAATAGATTTTACAGAAACTGGCACGACTTGTGAAGATTTCGAAGATGCTGATGAGCACATTCTAAAGCAAGGCCCTTTATTCTGGCAGAAGGCGAGACAGCACAAAGAACTTGTCCGAACATTTCCTTATTTGAAAATGTTTTTTCATTATCCTCAAGATGTACCTCTCAATAAGAACAGCAGATTGTCGGAAGAAAAGAAAGTTCCATGGCTGATAAGACTGTAATTTTTTTGTTCTTAACTGTTTCATCAACATACAGCACCTCTTCTTTGTTTTCAGTGACATCATTGACTCAGATGGAAAAGTGCGCTCTGTGAACTTCTTCACCAACTTCGAAACACTGTATAACAACTCCAGAGCATTGAAACCATATGTTGATCGTCATATTAAATTCAATATGGAAAAAATAACAACTTGATATCATTGAGAGCCTCTGGTGTGTCAGCTTTAGTAGTTATATGTAGTTTGCTGTATATTGTAATCACAAAATGAACATGATCTTATCTCATCTTATTTGTAAAAGAAAACTGAATTTATTAAAAAATAATACCAAAAAAGGAGAACAATTAACTGAGCCAACTGGGGGATAGAACCGCTGTGAAGACAGCTCCTTCTGATTTGATGATAGGAGATAAAGCATAGGGATTCAATATGAAAGCTGATACTGCAGGAGGAGATAGGATGAGAGGGCTTAATACGAAAGGGCTGAGAATCAGTGGACTCAAGACATTTGGAATGATTATGAACGGTGATAAAACGAAAGGCGAAAGTATTATAGGTGTTAAAGCAACAGGGCTCAATATGAAAGGACATAAAGCCATTGGCGATAATATCAGTGGAAGTCCAACACCTGGACTCAAAACAATCGGGATCAATGCAATAGGAGATAAAACAATTGGACTGAACAGAATTGGAGAAAGAATAACAGGACCCATAATACGTGGTGAAACAATAACAGGAACGAAAACCCATGGTGATAGAATAACTGATCCAAAAATTGATGGAGAATACACCAGTGGTACAACCAAGATGGGTGATAGAATCAAGCCTTGTGAAGCAGCTAAAGATATTGTATTAGAACATTTTTGCTTTATTATCTTGAATTATTACTTTCTGGTGAAGCTATGATTGGAGTGAAAGTGAGTGGTGATAGAACAATGTCTCGCTGTCGACTTACTTCAAATTTTGCCTGTTATAATTTTAATTGTTTCAAGAGAAATACAATTTAACTTACTTGTCCTTCCGCTAACATTCGAGCTGCCGCTTCGATGGCTCCTCCAATCTTATCAGTTGAAACATTGGTTAACCTAGCTAGAACTTCCGAATCTTCAAAAGGAGATCCGCTTCCATAAAAGAAGTTCAACTGAGAGTCAGTCATTTTTGCATAGCCTGTCTCATTCATCATATTAAGCTGGAAGTTTTGGAAAATTTTCATATCCTTCTGTTTACGGTTGCATATATTACACACCTGTTCTTTTGTCATCGTTTTTTGCAACTCTTCTATGTGTTCGATCTTTCGACTCTCACCGTTACCAATAAGCTTTGATATATTTTCCGTTTTGAATGCCGATTCTGTATCTCCCGCAACCATATCCGGAATATCATATGTCTCATTCGGTAGCTGTAAGCTTTTCGTGTAGCTCATGAAGTGTTCTTTCATTTCTTTTCTCTCGGCTTCTGCTTTCGCATTCTGTAATTCATAAAACACTTACTTACATATGGGGAATCAATTTACTTTCATCATGGAAACAGCATCTGAGACACCTGAAGCTTCAAATACGAAATTCATCCATTCTTCTTGGCTCTCATTATCAAAGACGTTCAAAAGGCTGGGTAAACTGAATATCCCACTGTTGTTGTGGAACGATAATAAAGTGGGAGACAATAAATTAATCTAAATATTAGCATAATTTTAGTATTAGGTTGCGAGTTACCGTATCTTCCAAGTTTTTTTCTTCAGGAGCCAACGCCATCAACTTTGGGGAGATCATCCGAATTGTTTTGTTGTCAAAATTAGAGATGTCTTGACCAGAGAGAGCCATTCCCAGCTTCACGCCTGAATCAGTGGTTATTCATTTTCTAAACTTTCTTGAATACCTTCGCGAATGAGCTTTACTGGTGTTCTCATCATTTCATCTTTCAAGCTGAGTGTCTTCTCAGCATTTTTTGCTTCACTCATGAGCTCATCCCTATCGTTCAATTTGACTTCACCAACATCCTCATCTCGTGAGAATTCCAGGTTCTGTAAAACATAAATCATGAAGACAAAAAACTTATTTGTTCAAACTTTTAGTAAAATTTCATTTGTGCTGGTTTCATTGGTGAATTTGAGATCTTCACGAAACTTCTTAAGACGATTCTGTAAAAGCTTCTTCATTTTGTCTCTTTTCTTCATGAGGATTCCTTCTTTTTCAATCTCTTCGATAGTATCTTGCCATCTGAAATGCTTGTTTGAGTTATTTCAATATCCAAAATAATGTTTTCAAACGATTTTCTTGGCTGTTCCTCTTTATTTTTGAACGAGCGAATAGTTTTGATCAAGTTCTTCGCTATAACAGCCATAGGTTCCTTGTAATTGTTGGTATTAGCATCAAAGAGACTGTATGATTTCTTTAAATGATATAATCTATTATAATATCATGTTATCACAAGAACTAACTTTTCGTTTGATAATAGGACGATCGAACTCGTGCTTCAAGGCCCTCTTAACACGTTTCTTCAATTTCATAGTCTTATATGGTGAAAACTTGATTCGTTTTGGTTTAGTGAACTTCTTCCGTTTGTTTGTCATCCTGTTTCTCTTACTTTTCACGACTTTCTTCTCTTCTCCCGTATTCCTTTTTGGAAGAGGAGGCGGAGAAAAAGTTTCGAACTTATGAAACTGTTCCACAAGCTCGGATACACATTTTGCATGTTCTCTCACAGTTTTGGAACTCTTTGTGCAGTCATGGTGCATCTTCTTAACTTGATCATTCTCGACTGTTTTGAGTCTGTAATTATATCGTAATAACTAAATGAATTACTGTAAGAGTTAACCTGTTAGTAGCGTACGCTGCCATCAGGCCAGAAACGGCTTGATCTGTCCAATGTTGGTACAAATTCTGGCCTGCTTCAGCAGAAATAGAGATTCGAGTAGTTTTACCATCAGAAATGGGAGTGTTCAAAGTGGTTGCATTATCATCCTCTACATCTTCATCTCTAATGATATGATCATCCCATGTCTCGTTCTGGGAAGCTCTAGTAGAATTTGAATCAATCTGAACAAAAGAAAGAAAATGGTTTGAAAATGATGCGAAGTACCGTTTTGTTTGAAGGATCAATAGCAGACTGCAGAAGATCTTCTAACAAGGGCATATTTGAAAAATCATTTTCAATTTTGCACAGAACACATGATAAGACTGAATAATTATATAGGATATGATCATAGACAAGAGTTACCTATCCAAGAAAACAGAAGCGGAGAAAACATTTTGATCTGAATAATCGTGACTGCTTTCTCAGAAAATAAAAATGATGAGTTCAAAAAGGGGCATGAACTAAAACTAAAAACTAAATCCTATTACTTAAGTTTTAATTAACTGGTTTTCCATTCTTTCCAATTGCTCCACTTTTCCTTGGATTTTACTTTTCTTTATATATAATTTAATCAACCTTATTAAAACAAATCACCTTCCCTTATTGACGGTAAGGTGGTATTAAGATAAAACGAGTGATGAGTAACAAGCCGGAAATGACTGAGCGAGTTGAGAGAGATGAAAAACAACCGCTCAACACGTCTTAAATGTATAGTATGATATAAGCGTTTGCCTTTCACGGGAAAATTCAGTTTCGTTGTGTATGCTAATTACGGAGTAGCATTAATTACTTATTTCAGTGAAACTTCTTATTCAACAGAAAAAGAAAAGAAGAAAAAAGAGATTTTATTGCTCTTTTTCATTTCATTCAAATGATTTTCAGCTGCTTCTGCTCAAAAGCAACCGATCGGTCAGCTGAAACGTCTTGGCAAATTTTTCATTTTAAAATTGACGGTGGCAACTAGCGATTGTTCCGGTTGAGTCCGGGAGACATTTCATCATTGGATTACATCAAAGAAAAAAGGAAGCACATCCCAGCTTAAGTAATATTTCTGTTTTTTCTCATTTGTTTCTTTGTTTCTGTGAAAGAGAGAAGAGAACAATATTATTCTGCTCATGTTAATATTATGTTGTAAGTTGATGTGATCGAATGACAACTTTTAATGAATGATTGGAATGTAGAGAGGCGATTGGAGAGAGAGGACGATGAGGTCGTCTGGTCACCAGTCGCTCGACCTCGTCCATCTAAGTACTTCTTCTAAATGTCTGCAAGACCAGATTTTGAGGTTTTAAGGTAACACATAAATGAAAACAAAAACTTTTCTCATCTATTATCTAACAAAACTAAAAGGTGAAGAAAAGTAAATTAGGAGCAAACTGATTTTTGTTTTTTCGTTTTTGTCATGAACATATTCAAGAGAATAGTCTATAATGAAACAAAATTGAAAAATGATGGTCTGATTCCTCTCGTTTGCCAAGATCAGTTGTCTGTTGGAAGAAATATATTTACTTGTTATCGGATATTCTTCAGAATTTCTAACTGAAAAATGAGAAGTTAACTGATTCATCTCTCCCATTCTTCATGGCAGCATACCGAGAGGAAAGTGAACTGCATCATGAAACGAACCGGAAATAATCAAAGATATTGAAAATAATAATAAAAATATTAAAGTTCTTAAGCTTCTTTACTCTCAATTTGGTTGTTTTTTCCACTTCTGAATAACTTTCTAAAATGATCCTTACAGAGAAAGACGGTCAAGCGTCTTTGATTTTCTCCCTCTTAATACTGTATGTGATCCTCCTTCTTACAAACAGAGAAAGAAGAAGCATGTGGCCGAATTCTGGAAAATGTTCAATCAAAATGTTTTCTCGTAAAACTCTTTTTGACCATATGAGGTTTTTTTTGTTGTTGTCTTTTTTGGCAAATAAACGAGCATATTTGTACTTAAATCCTTTATCCACCTTCAATACTTCTGCTTCTCCACCCACTCCGTCTGCTCCTTCTGCTGCTCAACTACTTCTACCTCCTTCTTTCCTTCTTCTCGTTCTCTCTCTCTCTCTCTCTCTCTCTCTCTCTCTCTCTCTCTCCCTCTCTTCATCTCTTGTCCCGTGTTCAGAAATCTTTCATTGCCATTAGACTGCTGCCAGGATGCTCTTCTGTTTTTCTCCTGGCTTCCATACGACCTCAAAAGATTTCTTCTTTCTTTTTTCTCCATCTTTAATCCAACAACTGTTCGTTCAGTCTTTCGTCGCCATTCGAGTCTTTTTTCTGAAATTTTAGTTTTCTCTTTTTAACTTTTATGAAAATTTTTGTTAATTCATTTATATATACCTTCATATGATTATGATTTTCGAAATCATCATAAACAAATTACACATAATGATTATTGTCAGTTAAATATTTGATTGAAATTCAAGAATTTCGTCAGCTTTTAATTAAATTATCGCCTTTTGCCTCGTCTGTTTGTCCATCACTGACCAATCTGGCATATTTTGAGTGTAATAATATTCGTCAACTCTCTAAAGAAATTTGAAGTGAACTAACTTGCTGTTTCAATTCTTTTTTGACCGGATGTGTCTTCAATCAATCGTCTTCCTCTACTTCTGCTTTGCTCGCCACAACGAAATGTCAGAATAAAAAACGGAACAAAAAAAAATAATTTGAATAAAAATGTCTTTTTGGCTGTTTAACTGACTTCATTCATCGTTCACACGTTCTCTTCTTCAGAAATATTCTCCAGAATGTGAATTTTATTATCAAGCTCATCAATTAGACTATGTTGAAACTCACTTTCTCTCGTTTCTTGTTTGTTGGAACTATAAATGATTTCAAAAAAATGATTTTGTGAATCTCATGTCCCAAAAACTCAAGGAAGACCAGATGTATCGTCATAAAACTCCTCCCACTTAGATGCTCAAGACAATCATTTTGTGATCTTCTAAACATTCGTTCATTTCAGTTTTTCATATTCTCAGTTCATACGGAACATCGTTTGTTTATAAATCTTAAGCTTAAGGCTTTTTCTTGAATTCCAAAGTATCTACTCGATTTTGAGCTCACAGATCAATATCGAAGAGTATAGTCTACAAAAATGAGATTAGCTTCTGTAATAATATTGTTTGTTGGTGCATCAACAGGTAGTCCGAAAACAAAAGCAGACTCATGATCATTCTTTTTCATTTTCAGCGATCGCCGAAAACATCACAGCTCTCTGCTTATCTCCAGATGCTCAACTAAGTTGTGGAACTTGTATTCAACAGAACCCTCTATGTGCTTGGTGTCGTGATCCCGTATGTTTTTAAATTCTTTCTCTTTTTTTTTTGGTTAATATGTCGAACACGAAAATCCGTTGTAAAATGCATCATTCTGCAGGTAAGACGGATAGGAGTTCCATCTTTAAATTAATTGAAAGAAAATATTTTGAGATGAAAGACGAACGAAATGAAAAATTGTTTTATAAATAGAGATGCTTCAACCATCCTTTTCAGCACATGGATGGCTCACACAATAGATGTCAGCCCAAGACTTCTTTCCTAAATGACAAGACTTGTAACCCTGATTATGTGTATTCACCTGAAACGGAGATGAAGATTGCCCATCATGTATCATTGCTTATTATATTTACTTCAATTTTACTATTACTTTGAAGAACCTCCGTATTGGATCTCTCCGACCCGATGGAAGAAGTACCGTGCAACTCGAGCCCCAACAAGTCGTATTGCGTATGAAGCCAGGTTTGTTTGTTTTTATGATTTCCCAAAATTATCTTATAAAAACTGAAAGTGAACAAGAGAATTATTTAAATTCGATGAGAACATCTGTTCGTTATATTCAGATTACACATTATGGGATAAGTGAATCAGAAAGCACATGGCTAAATGAAAATTTAAAAAAACGAGAACATTTTGTAATTTATTTCATTTATTATGTTTTGTAAAGAAACATCTGAGCTAATTTCATTTTATTTCATTTTTTTTCATTCGAAAAAACAAATGAGAGAAGAAAAATGAGAAGAAGAAGTTGCTCATAGAGAGAATGGAGAAATGAAACATCTTTGAGAATGACTGTAGATGGGACTACGGTAAATGAGAATTTAAACTTTTTATTTGAAACACCAATTTTATTGGAATATAGTTGAGGGAAACAAATAAAAAGTTTAAAATATCATAAAAAGGAAGCAATTATTGTCATCTGAAGTAGTAATAAGCGGATGAGATAAAAAAGATGTTGAACAGACGTTCACACAAACAGTCTTGAGGTCAACTAAGAACAGAAAATTACGTAAATTGAGGACGTACAATTACATTCATTGAGGGATTCTATAAAAATAAATAAAATATCTTTATATTTATTAATATTATTTCTATTATAGGAGATGAATTGACTGTTCCATTCAAATACGTTCATAATCCTGAAGTTGATCAAGATGTCATCGTACAAACAAGTCAATATCATGCTGAGAAGGGAGTTCAGTTACAATTCTTCATGAACTGCAATGGGTAAGAGTATTCTTAACATATTGTTTTTTTTTTATAAATCATATTGTAGACAAGAAATTGAAGGAAAGCAGTGTAGTGGTGCAGTCAGAGGACAGCAATATGATTTCAAGATCAAAGTGAATAACCGAAGCTGGATTGCTTGTTAACTCATTATTGTTCAGGTGACTCTTCAAAACTGCTCCAACGATGGGGACGTTTCCATTTCTGTTGGAGTTTATGGATATAACACTGTCTCCGCCATTTACATTACTCCTTTATGTGGTTGTGAATGTGAGAAGCTTCAACAGAGGGTTAGTTGGTGTCATACTTCTTCTTCTTATGGAAATGGTTCAGGAGAAAAACTCACCACTCTGTCACGGATTTGGTAACTTGATTTGCGGACAGTGCATCTGTGATAGTCACCATGGTGGACAACATTGTGAATGCCCATTGGCAACATTTGGAGTCAAAACCAGTTTTGATCTTGAACAGCAATGCCGAAAGTAGGCTTGACCTGTTATCCTTTCTGTTTCAAAGCAGTTTTTTCTACAGAACTTCTTCATCTCAAATCTGTGAAGGTCAAGGATCCTGTAAATGCGGACGTTGTGAATGCAAATCTCCCACAGTGAGTTCATGATATGAGTCTAGGTATCATATTCAATCTATTTTTAGATCCAAGGAAAATTCTGTGACTGTGATAGCTCTACATGCCCAAATAACTGCAGCAACAATGGCGAATGCTCATGTGGCAAATGCAAGTATGTGTATTCCTTCGTTCTGTCCAAATTTATTTTATGAATCATCAAAATAATATTCGGCGTCATTTATTCAATCATACAAAAATATATATATTTCAGGTGTGAAGAAGGTTGGGAGAGAGATGACTGCTCCTGCACAACGGACAGAAAGCTTTGTATGGAAAACGGAGTAAGGCATATTTAGATTATTCATTCTAAAAAAACAAAAACAATATAAAACAAAAAATATGATTATCTGTTTTCAGGTTGAATGTTCTGGTAACGGAAGATGCGAATGCGGAAAGTGTGTTTGTAACCTAGGATTCACAGGCGCTTTCTGCGGCTCAGCCGATGAGGTAATCTCTATTCAATGCAAGGCTTACATCTTAATTCTCACAGATGACACCAATTGTACACGATACTGAATCAGAGAGCGAGGAAAAGGTTAGTCTTTGATGTTCTACTGAATTATGAAATTAGCATATCTTGTATTTCACCAACGTGATAATCGCGTGAAAGCAGCTACAGTATCATTTGTATTTAAGCTTTCGCATAGAACGGTTGATCGTTTGGGATCCATTTGTTATGATTCCATATTTCTTTACTCCTCCCCTCTCCGATCATCGATATATTTTGACCATATAAAGTAAAAAAAACTGTTTCAGCCAGAAGACTCTGACAACAGTGATGCTGACGAAGACACAGAGGGATCTACAGAGTCTCAAACTTCCGGATGCAGCTTGAAGAGTTTCTTTGTAATCTTATTCTTCATTATTCCATTAATGCTCTAAATAACGAAAATCATTAAGTTCTGAAATTTCAAAAATGTAATGAATTCCAATTAAAACAAAATTTCTTTTTTTTGCTCAACCAAAAATATCATTTTTATAAACCAAACTTAACTAAACTTAGTCAAAGCAATCTCTCAACGATCACTCATCGTTCATTTTTCCTTTCATTACCTTCGAATAGTTCGGTGCCTATTATTTCTCTTTCTATTTCTCTCTCTCTCTCTCTATTTGTCTCTCTCTTCCTATCTCTCTCTCTCTCCTTCTCTCTCTCTCTCTCTGTCTTTATCTGTCTCACTCTCAATCTCACTCTTTCTTGAGTTAATTAAGATTTTTTGAGGAGAATATGAATAACTGCTCTGTATTCCTATATTGAACGAATTATTTAAAATCATTTTAATACTTTACAAATTCTATTGTATACATGATGAAGTAGATATAGTAATTTCTCAAATAAAGCTTTAACTTGAACTGTCTTCATCTGCATCACACATACAGAGAGAGACATATTCTCACCCTCATTCTCTTTATCTATCAATATGTTTCTCTCTCTCTCTTTCTTTTTTGTGTTCAGCTCGTATAATCTGAGAAAAGAAAATAAGAAAGCAGATGATAAGCCATTGTTTCCTTTAAATCTCTCTTCAGGTTAATACATCAGTAATCTGACATTTGATATATATTTTATGACTATAAATATAAATAGAAGAAATTGAATACGTTCAAATGCACAATATACAACAGAAAAAATCATTGCTTCATCTTTTTCATGTCCTGTTTGAGCTTTTCCATCATCAATAATCACTTTATATGGAAATGAAATGTTTGTGGAGGTTATCATGTATGTATTGTTTATAGATTGTTAATCAAATTCTTCATCAGACAAAACAATTATAAAGTAGACGGAAAGAACATCAAAATCAGCTTGGGTGGCATCTCAATGCACTTCCACCATACAGCTGATTCTCTGAGTGGACTCTGTTTTTTTTTTTTAATTCTGATGAAGAGAGCGAACAAAAAAAGAAAAGAGAGTAAGTCAAAAACGATGTTGCACAATCTATAATCTTGTGAGTGAAACGTGTATTCGAACGGAATGTCTCAGTGAAATGTAGAAAAATGAAACGGTGTACGTATAAAGGAATGCCGTCGTGTCAACTGGGAAAAGCTTTGGGAGTACGTGTGGGTAGTCAAATGATAAATACGTGTCATGCTGAAATGACAGTTGCTTCGACACATTGCCTGAGGGCACAAAGTCTACTTCTATTCTTTTCTGATTCTTTTTATCTTTTTTTGAATCACGTTGTTCGTTTGAATCAAATATGTTTGCTTCCAATACATCTTCTATATCTTCTTTAATCATTTCCCCTGTCTTTTTCAACCAACTCACAATTGGTACCACCCTCCCATCGACTCTCATCATCTGCAAAATTTTGATCGCAGTCCAATGTTTTATCATTCTCTTCTTCAATCCTATTAATATCATTGAATTTTTATTCATAGCAACAAACTTCCAGATAGATGAGACTCTTCACAGCTTTAGCTACTTGACAACCAACATTTGGTCTCATCAGGTTATCTCAATCCACTAATCAGTCTCATCACACATTTTCTGTTCGTTTTTTGATTTTTCATCTGTTAACCTTCAATAGCCAATTTCAAAATTTTAAACAATTTTCATTTTTCACATCAACATTGAGCTTTTAGAATTTATTTCCTTAACTATACGTATGGTTAACGATATGTGTTTGATTGGCTTTAACAAACAATTGATTACTTCTATTTCATTTTATAAAATTTGCAACCACTCGTCTCATCTCTTTATTCTTTCTAATGAAACACAAGACAGATGTTTTTTGCAACTCTTATGAGTTTCAATAGCTGATCATGGATCCCCTTAAGTTCAGGTTGCTGGAAGCCTGGACATCAGCTCTTCTGGTACATTGTTGGTTCTTTGTTCATCGAAAATATCTTCGATGGCTATATCACACTTATCTCTATACTCCATTACATTCTGTTGACGTCAAGAGCTGAAGAACCTTTTCTTGTACTGAAAGCATTCAATCCATTTTTAGTTTTGAATTTGACCAGACTGTTGTTGTTTTTATCGAAAATTTTCCATTTCGTATGTCCCGTCGGAGCACAATAATCAATCAATTGATATGATAAAGTGGTGTGATAATGTATTTCATTAGGTAGAGCCTCCCTGAATGTTGTTAACGTCTCCCCCCCCCCCTCTTTGCTCCAATCAGAGATGCTTCCATGAGCTTCTATTTCACTTTACCTTTGAAATGTATTATCTTTCATTTCTAGACTATATTCTCTCCTTCCTTAAAAGACGTGGTTAGCCACATTTGTGGAAGATAAAAAGTTTTGCGGCTGCTTATTTCTTATGAATCTCCGTGTCTCTTTTTTATGTTTTTCTCGCCTGGTCAGCTTCTTTGAGGGAAGGAGGCGGGGTAGGAGGAGTCACTAAAAAGAAAATCTTAAATTTGCTTCTGGTTTTTTTTCTTCATTCTTCCACACTCAAAGTTCATTCTAATCATTTTCTGGCAAAATTTTTTTTTGTCTGGATTGAACAAGTGTACTTCTCAGCTCGACCTATTTCGATAGAAGCACTCTGCACCCGCATATAAATTATCAATAATTCTGAGTATTTTCCGAAGACTATAGTGTCTACTTTTTATCTATGAAGACATTTTAATCACCTGTGTTCTTACAATCCTATCGTAAAGGTTCAGGATGCTTTGCTCCATTTTTTCTTTTTGCACTTCGACCTTTGATTGAGAATTGACAAGTCTCAAGCTGTCAATGCTTCAAATGGTACGTGCGACATTCGTTCAACAGCGCATTAAGCAGTACGCACATTGTCATCAACTTAGAAAAATAATGTCATCTGTGTCATAATCATGAATTATAATTTTTGCAAATTATCTTTCATCCTATTTTTTAAAACAAAATAAGAACTCAACAAATTAATGATTAATGACGCTTTTAGATGAGAGCTGATAACAGGTGAATGATAAGTCAAGGTATATATGAACTTAATATTTCGTTTAAAGATCTTCAAACCTATGAACCTTTAATCAAATTTTGATGAATATCATATCTTATTATGTATTTATGAGAAGCTTAAAAGAGTATTATGCTTTAGAATTGTCAAAATGCCTTATTAATACATCGTACACTCATTGACCGCTGAAATCTTATCATACACTCAAAGCTGTCAATGTTTCTAACTGTTAGTGATATCCTTCATTTAAGATAATCAGACATGGGTATTCCGTATATAGGTGGGAAATATCCGAAATCGTCGTTGGCTCTCAGCTTAACAATCACTTCTCTACTACTATGGGCTACTTTCCAACATAAGTTTGTCTTTCATTCATTTCAAATATCTATTTTTTCAATTTTAATATGGAATTGTATAAAATCTTTCTTTTTGTAATTCAAACTAATTAAAAATTTGTTTTTACAGACCACATCTCGTTTTGAGCTTCGATGAAGGTTATACAACCACAAATGCTCCATCCATCAAAGAACTTCAAGCTCAAATTGATTTTTTTGACAACCAGGTGCACTAACAGAATATATTGTTGTTTTACTGTTTGTATCAATGTTCAGGGAACTCCTTGGTACATGGCATTGTTCGCAGAACCCCGAGCTGAGAACGGTTCTATGATAGAATCAAATGAATTCCACGAGTTCAAGAGATTTTATCGAGTAAGAATGTTTGAGTTATTTCTTAATATAATCATTTTGATTAATCAAGAGCATCAAGTCTAACATTACAATTCGCTCAGTCATTGAAGAAGATAGGCAAGCTAATTTGACTTATATGGATTACTGTGGATCAATGTGCAACTTCAACGAAGTCATTTTCAAAACATTTGTAACCTTAAAACAAAAATTCAAAATGATTGATTTGTCTTTTAGTCGATGGCTTGGTTCGGTTTTGACTGGCCGGTAACTAAAATTATCAGTTATCAATCAAACATAGGAAAATACTTTTTTCAACGAACAATGAATGTGAGTTATAAGAGCTCGATAGACATTTTATGAAGAAAATTGTTTTTATAGGGAGATTCTATAGAATCAGCTAAACTGGCTGCTTTGTATTTCATGGTTTTCATTAACAGTACCGAAATGAGTGGAGATCTTCGAGAATTCGAACGATTAGTTCAAATGTACGTTTTAGCTCAAGACAAAACCATTTCTGAACAAAAGACGATCTACACCGGTTGAATTCAATCGATGAGACATTAATTTTTTCATTTCGCTTATTTTTCAGTGAAGTTGAAAAACATAATGCTGATCCAACTACTAAAACTATTCTCACCCAGCACGGAGCCCGAGGAATGGAGTTAGAAATAGAGAGAGCAACCAACACAGCACAACAATTCTTGTTAACAGGTTTGATATTGAAGTGTATACACAAATTACCAAAACACTAAGGTTTGGTAATCTTCATTGTTATTTGCTTTGTATCACTTGTTGTTCTGAGTTGGTCTCAGAAACGGTTATCTGGCTGGTTAGTGAAGAATCAATCAAAATGTTTCTAACTTTTGAATTTAAAGCATTGTGTTCGTAGCAACGGCTGCAATTGTACTTGTTCCAATCTCTTCGCTCATATGTACAATGGGAATATTTGGATTAACAGGATGGCATGTGAATACCCTGTCTATTATAACAGCCATATTCATATTCCCGTACAGTTAGTTTCTTGAAAATTATTCTCACTAACTCCTATTTATAGTTTTGATCAACGTGTTCCAACTCTTTAATGTTTGGCTCATCAGAAGTAACTTGGATCAATCAGTCGATGCTCAAACACTTGATAATGTTTGTTACGATTTAACACTTTAAAGCATTATTTCATGTTCCAGACCTTATCCATGGGTGGACATTTCATTTTCACGAATGTCATTTATTCTCTGATCATACTTGTGGCTGGGTTCCTGTTTTTCATTCCAGAGATAGGTAACCTTCTCAAGTTTATTGGAATTTCCATCTTTTTCGCTCATTTTCATATTGTGAGTTTTCATTGTAAAAAAGGAACTATAATTGCTTTGACATCAGATGCACTTACTTTTACCGTTCCTTCTTTGGTGTACACCATTAACAACTCACAAAAAGCTACAGGATTCAGAAAAAGCTAACAACGGATGTGCAGAGCTGAACCATTCGTTCACACATAGAACAATCATAAGTATGTCACATGCTAACTGTTCTTCTTTATGATATTTTTCATTCCAGCTGCTTTCTCGAAAACTGTGAGAAAGATGAAAAAAGTTTCTCTCACAACTGCCAGCTCTCTGCTCATCATTATAGGCTGTCTGTCTATCTGGGGATTCACTCAGGTTTTCTCATTCATCTCCTCTGCTTGAGATTCTCCAAATAATTTATAGGCTCACGGTAATTTGGATTATCGTCATTTGCTTCTGCCTGATTCACCTAACAACAAAGGTGTACACCTTATGAGTGATGTCGTATGGCCTGATTTCCTTCATATTCTGTTCATTATGGAAAGCCCACCTGATTTTGAAAACCCAGTCGAATACCAACAATTCAAGGTTCTTTTTAATCAAAAATTAAGTGAATAAAAACAATGCTACAGGGCTTCACAAGAGAAATTCAAGAAATACGAGGTGCCATTGGACCAGAATCTGATATGGTTTGGACTTTCGACTACGAGCGCTTTAGTGAATCACCATCTGATGCTAGAGGTTTTGAGTGATTCACGTGAACTCTTGGAAGTATATATCTTTTCAGTTTTAAACATGAGCATGTTCAAATCTTTCATCACCCATGAAGTGTACAACGCCTGGGCATCTGGACTTCGTTATAAAATGGATGGGTACGGAAGCGAAATAGTACCTCTTAATAATCCATTTGTTTTCAAGGGACAAACCTATTATAACAAAAATGATTTACATGGTTGGCATAAATGGAACAACTACAATGGCTGACAAAGCTCAGTTGATGGCAGATTGCCGAAGAGTAAGTAGAAGAATCATTCTCTGAACAACATTACTTCAGGTCTCTTCTCACTACCCTCAGTTCAAAGCGATTCCATTTGACACTGAAGTCGGGATGACAGATGTTATAACACAAGTACCAGAAACACTCATATGGTTACAAAACACTAAAAAAAATTCTCACAAACTTTCTTACAGGGTTCCCGCAGTGATCATAATGATTCAAACTCTGACGATGTTCAGTAAGAAATGGATAGTTGAATCGGCTGTGTTCCAGTTCATTTCGTTTGGAGGTAATATACATACATACTGTATATGCCACAAACTGTAATAATGCTAATTTTAAAGGAGCTATACTGATGCCTGCTCTCTTTGGTATTACATTCAATCCATTCTCCGTAGCTCTGGGCATCTACTTATCTGTCTTCTCAAGTATTATTCCTCGCCATATGATTCAATTCTTCGTGGTATTTATTTTTTTAATTATATTTTCAATAGAAAAATCTTTGAAGCATTCTCAACAAGTTGATGATGAAGAGCCAGAAGAAGCCTACACGGAAAGAAAGAAAGTACGAAAAGCTGAAGAAGCATTGGAACGATCGTGGTTGCCATCAATTTTGGTACATTGACTGCATTTAATTATATTTATTCAATGAATCTATTACAGGGTGTCATCGTATGCACATGCATATTCCTTCCATTCTTATATTGTCCTGTTTTGATTTTCTATAATCTGGCTATTATCAATTTCATATTCTTAATAATCTTTTTCATTGTTATATCTTTTATTTTACCAGTCTTTCTATTGGTTTTTAGAGGTACGGATTACTGATTGTTTTATCTTTTATTTTATTTGTTATTATTATTATTTACAATTCTTAATACTCACGTGTCAGCTCACGTGAGAAACTCTTAGACACGTTTTCATTTAGTTCGTGGAACTTCGTACTGAGCGGTTGCATTTCTCATTTTCATTTTCTCACTTCATCATCCAATCCTTAGAAACATTTTGTTTGTTTTATATTTTAATTAACATATTCAGAGGAAGTTTCATTATCAAGTTTCTCTTATAAGGTACTTACCAGGGTTCGGACTGCTTCAGAAACTAAACAACAATAACAACAAAAAGCCAAATTGCTCAGATAGAACATTCCTCTTTTACTTATCTATACATACACAGTGTTCTCGTCTTATAATTTCTGATGTATTAAAATAGTCATATAAATAAAATATTTATATACAAGTATTAATAGTTAAATGATCCTGCTTAGATAAGGAATGAATGAAACCTGAGTCAAATGTGAGATTAAAGAAGTTATCAAACATACCAGTATAGCACTCGAACATATGAAACCCGTTGTTTTAAGCTTATGATACATTATTACGGAAATTACCTTTCCTTCTAGATCATATGATTCTAATTTTAAATTAATATAATTACATTGATGATGATTTGCTTTGATAGCCACTGTCCATTGGGCTTGCTGGTTGAGACGTTTTGAAAGCGTGTAAAGCTGAATGTTCGGCAGCTGGAGATGGCATATCCTCCATTTCCGCCTCTTCTTCTATATCAGCCAAACTCATTTGATCAGAAGCTTTTGAGTTGGAAGCTAAAAGCTTTTGAACAAGCTCTGTCAAACGACTTTCTGGTATAGTTGTCGGCTGCTTATTGTACATGTTAAGGGCTTTTTCCTATAAAATTGATTATAAGATGTATATGAGTTCATGACTATCTGGAACCTCCAAAGAAATCCATTGATTGTCATATTTTAAAAGAAGATGTGTACAGAAGTATTGTATGTCACGCGGAAATAGATAGATAGTCTCTTGAAAAACATTAAAAACAACGGCATTTCTATGTAATTTCACAAGAATCTGAAAAACGTTTTTAAGTTTTTGTAAAATGTTTTTGTTGACAAAATAATATGAATAAACTGACCACTCGATCATCACGAAGTGATAATATATTTTGAATTGAATATAATAAATCATCTGTCTTGTTGATTGGTCTGTGACGTGTGTGAACAAGAATTATCTGCAATTTTTTATTTGAATTAATTAGTTCTTTTGCTGCAATCTGGCTCATTTAACAGTTTTCAAAAGGAAGTTGAAACGATGTAGCTGTCTCTCATGTAATGATATCATTCGAGTGAATATGCAATACACTCCCTATTGCAATTGAGAAATGAAAAACTTCTTTTTCTTTCCCAACATATGAATGATTTAGAAATTATTTTCTATTTCTAGTTCAATCAGGTAAACAAATAAGTTGGTTGAATGCATGTGATAGAGAGAGAATCAAACCTTATCGCAATCAGCTATATGCTTCACTGTCCAGATGTGCTTGTTTTGTTCTAAATCTAGCTCATCAAAACGATGGTATTTGAGTGATATTGATGAATATTGACTCAGCAATAGAGCTAATTCATCAACAAAGTTCAGTTCCTCTTCTGATCCAATAGATGTTACAAGAAGTACACGGAATTCTGAAACTTTCTTAATTGCAACTTCATGAAGAATGATGAACTGACTTTGTGATGGTTCAAGTAGCTTTCTGTCCAATAGGTCATGATGAAGATATACTTTGCTCTGCTTCTCATCTTTTTTTCTTTTCATTACACAAGCAAGAGTTATCAAACTAAATCCAGCAAGCAATATGATCAGAACAATGAAAAGACCAAGAAAAGCCATTCCATATTCATCTGTGATGATGGCTGGGTGTTGTGTACTTGCCATATTCTTCTAAAATTGAATATGTCACTAAGAACTTTTGAACCAAAATAAAACAAACCTCTCTTTTGAGTAAAGGCAAAATAAAGGGATAACTCTTGGTCATTATGCAATTACAGAATGTGCAGGGACATCTTTCATTTGGATAGCTGTATGGCACAACCTGAAAGATTTGTATTTTACTTTTTAATAGAATCTTGAGTCTGTTGTGATATGTGAAAACTTTGTTCAATTATGTCTATAACCTCACAGAATCACATCCCACGTCTCATTATCATAAACAGGGGAATTGATAAAGTTGTTGAAATATATATTTTTTTCACATTCTAAGAATTGGTTGAATTCATACCTTAACAGTGATATATTGTTCCCGCGGTAAACCTTCAAGTAATTGATGTTGAACGACATCTTCAGTCTTAAACGTTAAATTGAGAATCATCTGATACAAAAACTTCTTTTCACCTTATTCACGATGTATTCAATTATAATTGGATTATCTTTTATATGTAGTTGAATTGAGTATCGATCGATACATAAACTTTTCGGAGCTGATATGAAGCTTATGTTGACGGCAGCTTGAACGATCATTACATGGACTGACAATATTTTTAAATTCCAGTACTTTGCCAACTCAGCAGTTTCTGAAAAAGACTGTATTATGAAAGTTATTGCTGTTTCAGCAAGAATATTAAAGGACAAAGTGTACCAAAATCAGAATGAAATTATCAAAGCTATAACCTTTAGTCGCTAGACATTGCTTAGGATTCTCCACATTCTGCGGAATCAATCTGATCTGATTAGTTACACCACCCAGCACAAGTGGTAACAGTGCCACTTCGATTTTGTACTTTTTTCCAAAGTTAAATAGCTTATGGGAATTCAGGAAGAATTCAACCTAAATGAATTCAAAACATCAGATGACATGCTCAACCTTGTAGATCGTCGTACCTGATGATAATTAGACGTTATCTGGTTAATCGATTTAGCCAGTTTAGCCTCGAACACCCAAGTGTTTGTTTTATTTTGAGTATAATCCTTTCGTTGATAATTGAGTTCTTTGATTGTTATAAGAAATCCTTCTATTGGTGTTGGAAGTAAAGCTGAGGTCTCGGGTAGACGCCATCGAATGGTTGTTGAAACAACCAAATCTCGTCCATTTTTATGAGTCTGAGGATGAAATGAAATTTAAATTCTAACAAAATTGTCGAATTGTCAATTATTTCAATGAATGAGCTTGATGATATCGAGTGAAGAGCCTATGAAAAGCATAAATAAAATAAAATGGAAAAGAGTTTCATCTCGCAATCTTTTCACTTCATTCCTACTTCAGATATTCAATTGCAGCAGAAGCAGCATTGCAATGGAACAGTCACAAGGAATTTTAAGATGGACGTCCTTTTTTTATTGCAGAAAACGAGAACTAAGCACAAGATTCTCATAAATTATAGGGAAGAAGTTTCCTATATAGTTATCAGATGAGAGAGGACGTTTCACATGTGTTTCATGCACCAAGAACACGGAAGCTCAATTAAGCTTCTTTTTTTCTGTTTTCCTTCACTCCATCGTTTTAACCGCTTGTTTAACGTCGACATTGACATCTTCGGAATCAATGTTTGACTAGGTAAAGAAAAACCGTGGAAAACGAGAAAAGGAAGTCGTTATCGAAACAAAAATCACATGTCGGATGGTCAGAGTACTGACAGATTCAACGTTCAACATCAAAAGTACCAAATTAGTAGAACGCATAAAGCTCATCCATGAAATTGAGATGAAAGATTCTTGTTTTGAATAAGTTGAAAGAAGGAAGACATTACTAACCTCCAGAAAATAGAAAGTTCGAAGGCCGTATGGAGCTGCTGGCCATAAAAAGGTGTTGTTCGTCTCCACAATATTATTTATTGATGTTTCATGTAGAGTGCAAGATAATTCACTGATTGGCGTGTTCGAGCAGACATCAGAATATACAGAATGAAATTGCACCAAAAATAGAATAAATGACGATATGAAACTTTTTCGCGATTTACGTCGCATCTGAAATGACAAACGAAAGTTGTTGAATGAGAGAAGAAATGATGTTTACTTGTTTGTTTTATCAAGCAAAAGAAAACAAAATAAGAAACAATAGATAGACAGACAGGATATATTGTGAGAGCATCTTATTAAAAGTTATTTTTTCTTAAACAAATTTCATTTTTCTTTTTTTTTAATCCTAGTTTTTCATTTGAGAATACTTTACGTAACAGATGATTGTCGTGAATTGTCTAATGGTGTCGTTGTCTTCTCTCTTAAGGCATCTACGGAAAAACGAACAGGTTGCTTGAAAATTTAATGAAAAAATGATTCTGCTGTGTGAATAAAGAGAGAGAGCAAGGAAAAAGAAGATATAAAGATTGAAATGAATAGATAGAATGATAATAAGAGAGATTGCTAGATGACGAAGAAATAGATGGTTTGTGGTTCTGATGTGTTGAAAATGAAGATGACACTGAAATCATGTTCAATTCGTACGAGATGTAGAGAAAGATAGGTAGATAAGCAAGTGAAAGATAGTGTGAAGAGAAGAGCATTATGGGTAATGAAAGAGAAAATAAGATTTGAATGATGAGAAAAAGGTGTTTTTGAGAAGCATACAAAGTGAAAGATGAACAGAAGTAGTTTCAAATGAAAAAGAGACTGATGGAGAAGACAAACTAGAGATTAAAAGGTAACTGAAACATTAAGCGGCGAAGTGAGAAGAGAAGAAAGATGAAGAGAGATGAAAGAAAGGAGAAAAAAAGTAAAAAAGAGATATTTAGAAGAAAGGGGTAACAGAGAGAGAGAAGGATGGGGGGAGAAAAATTAAGAGAGAGAGAGAGAGGGGAAAAGAGAGTGAGAAGTTTGAGAGGTATGTTACATATTAAAAACCTAAAGATGATTTTTTTTGCTTATAAAGTTCTCTGCATCAAACAGATTTTTCTCATAAAATTTTTAAGAGTCGTAGAATGACCGTTCATTCTGTTTTCAGATCCTCCTACAGGCAAGAACGATGGAATAACATAGGCATAAGTTCATTACAAAGACAAACACATGGAAACATAATATACAACGAGCAATAATCAATACTTCAAGCCAGACGTCAATTATCAACAAAAAATTGGATGGAATCTCATAAAGAGCATGAAAACTGAAGAAAACGACAAAGAATGAAAATTTTGTTCAAAAAAAGTTGTAAAAGATATAAAGAAGGCTGAGAGAGATTGGGAGAGAGAAGGTGAGCATAGAAAAAATCAAATAAAGTGCTTTCTGGAAGTTATTTCGGTCTGTGTATCCATAATTGTTAATACATTCATGTTCAACTGATTAAATTGATCTTTATGGGTGATACGATGACAGTACCTGTGGTCAAGTTTTGAAAAAGCGTTCAAACAGCTGAACATGACACTTCTCTTCTTCAACTTCTCTTGCCCTCTCTCTCTTCCTCTCTCTTTCTCTTCTTCTTTCATAAGAATGTCTTTTTTTAATCCGTTCTCACCTTTTAAGTATATCACTCAAAAGAAAATAAAAGAAAATATTTTTTTGGGAATAATTAGCTATCTGACACGTGATAAGTTGAATTTCGAAATATTCTGCATCGAAACAAATAAGAACCTGACAATTGAAGGAAACGAGATTATCACACAAACTCACATACCTATTGAAAGCTTCGAAGTAGGATGAAATGAAAGAGAAATTGTGATTCCGTGAGCATAAATGAAAATCTTCCAATCAGAATCAATTGGAAAGTTTTTTTTTCTCAAATCTTGAAATCAAATGCAATGATGAGATGAGAGTGAATGTGTCCTTCTGTTTCAAATGGCTGAAATTCATCAAAAGCTTCAGAGAGATATGAAAAGAAGGCAGAAGAAAAGTCATAAAAACGTTCCACAAAAAGCAAATTATCTTATTTTTCACCAAGAAAGGCAAAAGAATCAGATGAAAAGTCAAAGTTTAACCAAAAATGTTTCTGACTGCCTCTCGTAATGCTTAAAGAGGAACAAAAAAAGCAATTACTCTAAATAAGCTTCAACTGGGATATTCAATAATGTCGGATAGTTTTGAAATTGTAATTAGTATGAGAGAATGAAAGAATACAACCACACAAACATGCTAGCTGCTTAGAATCCAAACTTCAATAAGATTCCCAGAATGAAATGTGTTTGAAGGCCCCAAATATGACTTTTGCACAGCTTTAATTTGAAGAAAAAAAGAAAACTTTCCTTTCGTTGCTCAAAACGATTTTGAAATACGGTGCTATGGCCAATGAGACATCAGAATGTGCTATCCTCAGCACGTCAGTTGATTAGGGAGTAAACAATATGCCTAACATACAAAACTTTTTATATTCTAAGGTTATCAAAGAACATGTTACTCTCATCAATTTCTCGTACTCTCTTCACATATTTCACTATCAAAAGGGTAATCGGCTCACTTTATGCAAAAAATATATCAAAATAGAAAAGAAAACAAGAAAATTCATTGAGTTCTATGGGTTACTGACATAGTAACGCTGGTGACCATCTTACGTGAACGACCGGTAATTCCGGTAGTGCAAATGAAAAATGAATGAAAGAGCAGAATCATTTTTAACTTTTTCAATAAGTTAGCGGTCACATAATAGCAGCACCACAACTAATTCTGAAAATATAAAACAGAATGAAAAGATGAATCTTTCATTTTGATATGTTGCGCATGTGTGGATCGGTCGTGCTTTTTTTCACTCAATATGTATTTGTTCGTATATGTAATTAAAAATGATCGCTTTACGACCCAATTTTTTTTTAGTTAAAATCGTTTTTTCATCTAATTTATCGTTAAATGATAGTATCTGATGAACAGAGTAGAAAAAAAAAGAAAATTTAATGAAAAATTATATTTAAAAGTTTTATAGTATATATGATAAGAGATGTGTTTCATATAATTGGATTTTCATTATATTGAAATGATTAGATGTAGTTGTTTGATGATAGTTATGTTTGATGTTCTGTTCAGATTGAGTTGGCATTGTCAATGTAAATGAGAGAATTATGAAAAAAATCAAATTATTAACAAAACTATTTATTTAACGGCTGGGAAGATAGAATAAGCTTAAATAGTTTATAAATTATCAGCAAATGCAAAAGCTGAAAATTGAAGTTGGAAATACGAAGATCCCAAAATAGGAGATATGACTTCTATAAATAGTAATTATGAAGAACATTTTGTAATTGAACTCCAATCACATACTCACAACAGATAAGAAATATGTTTATCCTTGTTTATGAACGCCGCTAAATCCTATAATTGACATTATTTATATATCATTTTTGATGTAAGCTTAACCTCTAGGCTTGTAATATGGATAATGCCTCTTATCAAAACCAAAACCGGCTCCTTCAATAGAATTCAAAGCTCTCTTATCAAATCCGAAACCAGCTCCTAAAAGTAGTAACTAAGATAACTTCAAATAAAGAGAATTGTAGAAGCCAATTCATTCCTTTTTTCTCTTCTCCTCTAAGTATATAGTTTTTACTATTGTTAAAACAAGCTCATTCATTTTGCCAAAGATAAAAATAGTTCAAAATAGTGTAATCTTAACAATACCTTCAATGCTATTCAAGGCTCGTTTGTCGAAACCAAAGCCAGCTCCTGAAAATGATGAATTTTAAATATTCAAACAAAGAAGAAATACAAAAAAGTTATTCTCATTTTTTAAAAATTAGTTTTGAGGACCCAGTGCATTACCTTCAATACTGTTTAAAGCGCGCTTTTCGAAGCCGAATCCTGAGCCATCAAGAGAGTTCAAGGCTCTCTTATCAAATCCAAAGCCAGCTCCTGAAATCAATTATGATTTGAATATGAATGTCTGATGGCTATATTTATACCTTCAATACTATTCAAAGCTCTCTTATCAAATCCGAAGCCAGATCCTTCTAGACCATTCAAAGCACGCTTATCGAAACCGAAGCCATTTCCTTAAAAAAAGGGCAGCGATGACATCATAGTGAAGTGAATCGACTACTCACCTTCAATTCCATTCAAAGCTCGTTTGTCAAATCCGAAACCAGCACCTATAGTGTTTACCCGTTACACAATTTTCTCAGTATCAAAAGCTAGAACCTTCAATGCTGTTGAGAGCGCGCTTATCAAAACCGAAACCATCTCCATCCAATCCATTTAAGGCTCTCTTATCGAAGCCAAATCCATTTCCTTCAATGAAAATGTATTTTGAAACATAGAAAATGAGATAGTTTGGAAGAAGAAAAATAAAAAAAAATGATGAACTCGTTCAATCGTAAACAACTCAATGTGACGTGGTAAATTCGATTTCAATTTCTTGTGAGTGTTCGTGAAACAAAAAGAAAAGATGGATTACCTTCTATTCCATTTAAAGCTCTCTTATCGAATCCAAAACCATTTCCTGGAATGTAGAGCATTTTAAAAGGAAATTTTGAAATTTTTCTTAAATATTTCATCTTGGGTATGTCAGTCATTCTCTCAATCAGTTGTATGATAAAATAGAACAAAAATTAAAGTTGACTTTTGACTTAAAGATAAATAAAAAGAGCTCTTTAGAGAGAGACACTACGAGAGTATAAGAGAGCAAGACTAAAAAGAAATAGAGTGATCAAGAAATAAGAGAGAGAGAGACAGAGAGAGTATGCATATGATAACTATTATTATTCCCCATTAATACCATCTAATCCATCTAGAGCTCGTTTCTTCATTCCAAAGTCATCTCCTTCCAGTATGTCAAGTGCTCGTTTTACTCGAAAAACTGTAAAAAAATTGCAAAATTGAGGAGATTTTGGGAAATTGTTTCATCGCAAGATGTCTATTTCCATGAAAAACCAACCACCAACCAGAAAACAAAACACAAAAAACCGTTAAAAAATGTGAAAAAGGAAATTATCACCAGCAGGCAGAGGATAGCATATAGAAGAGTATAAGTGAGAATTAGAATAGTGAATAGTTAAGAAAGAAAAGAAAGAAAGATTCTTTGAAAAATAAAACAGGTAAGTCTTTGTACAGGCAAGTGGGTCAAAATGGAAATCATTTTCGTGCTTCTTCACTCAAACCGATAGATGTTACCTGAAGTAGCTGTAGAAAGTTGGAGAAGGACGGAGAATGTCTGAAATAAAATAAATGCACTAATGAACAACCGTACATAGTAAGTAGAACTTTATGTCATTGTAAATTTAAAATGTAAACATAGTCCTTTCTGGTCAGGAATGAAACCCTGAAGCGAAACGGACAAGTGTTTTCAGGCAAATTACACTTTTCTTTGATTAGCTTATTTATTTCATTTAGAAGAAGCTCGTTTCGAACTTTTTTTTTTCTTGTTTTTCGCTTATCAAAAACATACCAGAACTATAAGTGATAACACGGACTGCATTGCGTAGTTGTACCCCTTTTTTGAGCAGAAAAAAAAGATCTGAAAGCCAGCATATTTAATGTGAATAGTTTCTCGTGGAGAAAAGAAAAAACAACAACTTGAAGACATCTTCATAATATGCGACGAAAAAAGAAAAAGAGATAGAGAAGAGTGGATATAATTTGGTTCTTGCCACAAATACATCTTTGAGATCAAAATGTATTAAAAATAAAATGACAGAATATAAAATATATTTGCGATGATTCAATAATTGCCTGGAGGCATGAAAAATGACGTTAGCTGGAGTGAGGTGGAGGAGAAAGACAAAAAGAGAATGAGAAAAGAGGAGGAGACTAGATCAGATTTAGAGCTAAAATAGACTTGTGTATAACTTTTACTAGCTAAAATCACTTGTAAGCAGACATAGACTGTCCTTTCACGCGCCACAGCCCCTCTTCATTCATCTCTCCTTGGGATCGTTTTTAATATTTTCAACTTTTTTTCGCTGATATGTCTGACATTTTTTTTCTCAGTGATGCAGAAAGAAAGTTCTTTGAAAGGTCTTGAAGATCGCAGAGATCGGCGTGTAGTGAGAAAAAAAAAGAAATAGCAGAGTGATCCGTTTGTGCGTGTTAAGAACTATTCCCCTGAGGACCAGTGAATGAAATAGCCAGTAGGAATACTCACGTGCTGCTGGAAGAGTTACAATCGAATCAGAAACAGGATTCTCTTCCATGAATGTTTCCACAAAGAAAATGAGAAAAACAGAAGAGAAAATCTTTTTGTTGAATTTCTGAGTTCTAAGTGGGTTCAACGAAAAAAGGGGGAAGTTACTGATTACCAGGTTTAGAGTAAGCCTAATGAGGAAGAAGCAGGAAACGAATTTGGTAGATAGTGATGTCCTTAAAAGAAAAAAAAAGATTTGAGAAGATCAAGTGATAGTAGGGTGAAGGCGTGCACCATATTTTGAAGGAACATAATGAGAAGAAGAGGAAGAAGAGTGCAGAAAATAGAATTGAATGAGTATATTATGAAAATGTCGTAAAAGTTGACAAGTTCAATGAAATGTCATAATGTATTAGATGTATGAGCTGTCTTGGAAACTCTGCGGACATTGTAGTAAAGCTGAAATCAGATGATTATTACGAGCAGTGTTGAGGGAGGATGAAAATGATGGCCAAACGGATGGGGGAGTAGAGGAACGAAAAGCAGATGAATAGATGCGCATGTTGTATTTGTGACTATATAAGGTCATTTCGTCTACATGACCACTTACGTAGATGGCTTTATAATCAGATTTTCAGAAGATTTGATGGATTTTTGGAGTGGATGAGAGATAAACATATATAGAAGAAATTTAATGAATGTCCATATACACAAGCTTCTATGGATGGAACTGACTGAAGGTGCCCTCAACCCCCCCCCCCCCCCCCCCCCCTCCCCCCCCCCTCTCTAATTCAAAAATAAATTTAAGTGATTTCCATTACCACAGAGTTCTTATAATGGAACAGGGTAAAAGTTCCCCCCCCCCCCCCCCCCCCATTCCGTCGGCCAGCGTAATTTCTAATAAAACATTTTGTGGATAAGAGTTTCTCTTGCATACAATTGACACACAAATGAAAGATGGAACTGATGGCTTTCTAAAGTTCTGAAGGCATTCTCTGTGACGACATCAGCACATTCGATTGCCAAGACATCTTCACCAAGAACATAATTAATAGAAGACGTGTTGTAAGAAAACGCCAATGAAATAGAGGAAAAGCTTCTTTTCTATATATATATATATACGTATACACGGGCGAGAAAGTCGAAGAGGGAAAAGAGCTTGTACAACCAACGACTTATCTTATTCACTCTCTATTTCTTTGTGTTGTTGTCGGTAAAAGACAATATTTTTTTTTAAACAAGAAGAAGTGAAAAAGAGGAAAAGCATCAGATGAGGACAGTTGAACCACAAAGTCTTCTTTCTCTCCTTTCCACCTCTGTCTTTAGTCATATTTCTTTCTTTCTCTCCTCCCATTTTTTACATGAGTTGCTTATTCAAAGATACAAAAACATCTTGAGAAGCACGGCGAAAGCAGAGATGACAAGGCTGTAAAAGGAAACAAAACAAATGCGAACATCAACTTTTTATGACGACGTTAAGGACAACGGACAACACACCAGGAGCTCAAAGAAGTCTTTCCTGAGCTCTGAAGTTTCAAAGAGTAAGATGAGTTGTTTATCCTTTAGTTCTGGTCATCTTTCTTCAACCGTTTTATGATCTTTCATGAATTCTCAAAAAGTTGTTCAAGATCTAAGCTGCTCTCTCTTCCACTTTCTCTATTTTCGTCCTCGCTCTTCTCTCCTCAACATCTATTTCTGAATATTAATAATAAACTTTTAAGGTTAATTATATAAAGTGTAAATGTAACGATCTCAGGGCATGTATACATAGTATAGTAAACATTTTCTTAACTATGCATACACATATGAGATTGTTTACATTGGTAATCTCTTAAACTGGGATTTGAAGGGAAATCCCAAATAGGAAGCCAAAGAAGCTAATTGGAACAACCTTATCGAAGCCATTTTGAAATTTTAATTGGATATAGTAAAAGTGAGAAAGAATCACTATATTCATCTTATCAGATATTTACTGTTAATCTGATATCTGTTCAGCTGTTAGCTCACTCTCACATGATTTTCTATCACATTTCCTGCTCTCCTCTCGCACCTTCCTTAGATGGCACTTGAGATTTCCATCCTCATTCTGTCCAAATAAAGATATTTAAATATTAACGATGAATGTTTTGAAGCCTTTGAAGTATTTCAAGCGAATTGTGAATGACGTGAAGATAACAGAGAGTTCTGAAGGATTAAAATGAAAAGCAGGGAGTGGAGTAAAAAATAAAAAAGAACTTTCAATGGTCATGATGATCATTCTAAGAACACCTTTTTTGCGTTTTAATGACAGCTTTGGCCAATGAGTTCATTAATTCTATTGAAACGATGCAAACTATTACGATGATTAATATAAAGTCATTGAGTAGCTTTTCTCTCCCTCTTTCTCTTCTAATTTCTCAATTCTCATTTATTCTTACTCTCTCTCGCTCCCACGCCCTCGTATTTCATCGTATCCGAAGGCTTCAAGTCATCCCTGTCACTCAAGATATTACCTTGGATAGTTTGTTTCTTCCGCCTTCTTCACGTACGAACGCAAAATACTATAGAAATTTGAAAACAGCAAAAGAGCAGGCAAATGAAAATGAACCTGAAAGACGAGTAAAGAAGGTAAAGAATACCAAATTTGGTGTTGTCAATGATCTGAATTAGGAAGCGTCGCCAGAGACAATGAAGGTCATTTGAATTTCGTAAACAAAAATATTCATGAAAAATAAGTTGTTTGAAAGAAGAATGTGATTAGGCAAAGAATAAAAACTGTTTTCAAGTTATATGAAAGTTCAACAGAAGCTTCAAATGACGATAGTTCGTACAATCCGATTGGAAGCAATCAAAACTAGAATTGAAAATGTATAGATGAATAGATTTTGTAGTTCTTAATAATATGGTTTTATTACTTACATAAAGTAATTCCTTGGATATGAGAATGTCATGGATACAAAAGATGAAACGAGGTACTGATAGATTGTCTAGCATTCTTGGAAACGATTTAGGCATATAAAAACCATGCGGTATGACGATCATGAAGAACATGAGAAATGAAAAATGAAAGGGACGAAGACGACATGCCGAAATATGGCATTTAACATCATCATATGAACATCTTGGACGTCGCCGTTGTTATTCTGATGTGACTTTCATGCATCAACACACATATGTACATATAAATAACTATCCATACATGGATATAAACATTCACAGGGAACTATATAAAAGCGTTTGAGCGTCAAGTGTTGATTAAAATGCTTCACATTACGCGCTAAGCTTCGACTCAATAAAATGGGAATGAATTGAGCTGAAGCGAGACGAGGTCCAGCCATAAATGGACTGACGACTGTTTCAGCTGACAACGAAGATTTAAATAAGAGGCGGAGTGATGGCAGATCGACGAATTGGCAATAGAACACTCATTTAAATGTTAATTTTTCGATTATTAAAACAGTCCTACTCAAATAATTTTCTTCGTCTGATATTCAGTAGAGGAATTTCAAATTTCTTCATTTATTTTGTGATCAAAGACTTTTCATCCGAATTACTATCGGCTGAACTGCTCTTTGGCTACTGATCGTAAGCTCGTCGAACAGAATTTTCTGCTGCCTGAATCGACATTTTGACAGTTTGTGCATTCTCATCATAACCATTGTGTTTCTTATACTCTCAGTAGGGACTAAAAGGGGGAACTGAAAAAAAAAGAGAAAAAACAATAAAACTTGTTGACCCATGTAGTCAGTTTCATTTGAAATTGTGAAAATAAAACTTTTTTAAAGTTTTTTTACCCGCAACATTGGACATGTGTGACGTCAATCAGAATCGGATTCTGAGCTCAAAGCTCCATGACGAACGGCGTTTCGGAACTCAATGTGTTGAAAAATGACTAGCAGTTTAGAAAAAGAAATGACTTAAGCACAAAGATTTAAGCCAAAGACGAAGACGGTGTGTCCCAACGGAGCCCATGTGATGTACGACACCGAAACTTTGTTCAGTCGTGGATGTGAACTATCAACATCCAAAATTTCTGAGCTTAAAGGACAGTCAAAGGTCGTCAGAATGCTGTTTTTTTATCGCAAAAAATGTTAAAGATGAGAGGCAAAAAACGAAAAGAAAGGAATTGGGTAATGAGCTCGTTAACTTCTTTGTGACTATTAGTTCTTTGTGTCTCATTGTTGCTGACAAAGTTCAAAAATCGTAAATTGAAATTATATTATTTGTAAGCTCACATGTGAGCATACATTATATTGTTTTATAGAAGTTCTCTCTGGAATTAACTGAGTAAGTGACTAATTCACTTTTTGAATTCTTGGAAAAAGTAACTGACCAACGGAATTTTTCTTTTGTTGTAAGTGGGACAATCCATTGGG